ATCCCGAGAAATTGTGGGTGGATCGGAAAACGGAAAAATACGTATTTCCTATTTTTGAAAGAGCTATCGAATGATACCAAAGTTGTCCCCCGCCCCACCCACAGGGGTGGGGGTGGGGGGTCAATTTTGGTATCATTCGATAGCTCTTTCAAAAATAGGAAACACGTATTTTTCCGTTTTCCGATCCACCCACAATTTCTCGGGATATTCAACCGTTCCGGGACTTTTAGACCACCCTGTATATGTATTTATTTATTTATAAATGCGATTATACATATTTATTATATTAAATTTATTGAAGTTTTAAGACATCATGTCCAGTCAATGCGAAAGTTAGGTATACATTTATTTCGCACACCGAATGGTTCAATCACACGGTCCTGCACCGTGGCGAGCCGAATCGGCACGAACTGACACGAACTTATTTTCCTGTTCTCCAGCGTTCCAGTCACCAGTTAACTATTGGAGCTTCCAAGTCTGCATCACTGACGCCGAGCTGTTTACACGTCTTCTAACCGAAGAGAAAATTTCTTTTTATATTCAAGCGTTGCATCAGCCGATTGCACCACTTTGCGCGTGGTCCGGTAACCGGGCCACTGCCTTGTATCCGCTTATTGAAACTACCGCACGCGACACTCGAAGAGGCCGGAACCAAAGGCCCGTGGCTGACGACTCCGACTCAATCTACACTTATAGCCATTGTTTAACTTCGGCAGGACCGAGAAGAAGAAGAAGAAGAAGACCAGTTAGTTATTGCGCAGCAGCAACATGCACAAGGCATTCGAGAAACTTGGCATCGGCAAAGTAAGAAGATAACATTTTCCAGAGTTATTTTAATAATCGTACACACACACACGCACACATGCGCGGATGCATGTATGCGCATGTTCATGTTTGCCGCATGAACGTATTTGTATCCTTGAGATATCCTGGAAATATCATTTTATAGAAATTTCTTCTGATCGTCTCAGGACTGAAGAAAGACATAAACACGAGCCCAAAAGCGTTATATTATACATAAATTCCTATATCAGAATTATATATATAGCTTTTATTCGATTATCTACAGCTTTGTGAAAATTTTATCGGAAACCGTCTTTTATCTTCACTTTCTTGCTCTAAGTATTTAAACTAGAATAAAATGTTAGTTTAAAGACGCTGGAGAATATAATTTGCAGAATTGTTGTTAACTCACATAGCAAAAGATTGTTGCACTATTTTGAGAGAAAACTCAATCAACACGTTGCGTCAGATTGATCGCCTATTTTCTTCAATATGCTTTTATACTATTCCTAATAGCACAGCGCATTGGCTAAACATTGGTTGTATTAGAAATGCATTGGCCGATATTGTCCAACGTAAAGCCAATATTGGCCACGGAATAAATGTAGATATTGCACGATAATAATTATTATATAATTTTAATCAATGAATAAAAGGGCTAAGAGCCTTGACTTAGGTGTTAGCGTCACAATGATAAAATTCTCATATATTTAAAACATAAAAATACAAACGTTTCGGCCTTTCTCTAGGCCATCTTCAGTGTATAAAATAGAGTATAAAATATAATTTAGATATAAAGTCAAATGATAAAAAGATAAAAAATAAAGATCGCTCGCAGTCAAAAGATAAAAAGATAAAAACCGCTCGCAACGCAAACCATTATAGATTAGCTGCTGTGGACTGAAAGATCGTCGTCGAGATAAGTTTTGGTGTTTTAGAGGTGGTAAAAGTCGACTGATTGAACTGAATCAGTCGACTTTTACCACGTCTACAACACCAAAACTTATCTATGAGAATTTTATCATTGTGACACTAACACCTAGTCAAGGCTCTTAGCCCTTTTATTCATTGATTGTTATTCGTCAGAGCCGTATTCTATTATATAATATTAGATTTTTATTCGAAGTGCACTGGACAATATTTAACAATGTAATAAGAATATTGGCCTAATAGCGATACAATATTAAACCAATATTGCTAAATAGACACATTGGCTAAATCAGAGAAGGCGTCCATCTTGCAATATTGGGCCAACATTGGGAAAACTAGGTTCACGTTATTTCCCAATATTGCGCCACTATATTGTGCCACTCGAGGGGAAAACCGCTGACCAAAATCTTGTACACCCAATGCCCGTTGATATCCAGTGGGCATTACTTTATCTTCTTATCTTATTTCATCTTATTTGATTCTTCTAATGCCCCAGCAAGGTCTAATGCCCAAAAAATGCCAAGTAATGCCCAGTAATGCCGCAAATCTGTGCACCACAATGCCCTCAGCGGTTTCCCCCTCGGTGCTACTAGGAGATGGCACCTGCAAGTAGAACATGCCGGAGGAACTTGACAGCAGAAAGTAAACAGCTCTACCGGGCAATAATCTGAAGAATCCGCTAGTAAAATCGAACTCGAAAATACTTGGGCAACAAAAGCAGCCCACTTTATTTTCGGTCTGCTCCGTTCTTCGCGGAAGAATGTGCGAAATATGAAATCCATGGATCTGCGCGTGCACCGCGCCGCGAGTGCGCATGTGCGCCTAAAGAGCGGCGGATCGGCATTCGGCATCTCTCTTAGACGTGTCGTTTAGTGCGAGAATGTTACATGCTGAAGATCTGACGTGTACTCACCGTCGTAGCCGTTTCAGAATGGAAAACCGCTCTGCGCGTCTTCCGTAGTCACTACTGTGTTAAGTCCTCGACCAGTTGCATCAGACAAGTTCGATTCCGTTGACTCTCCTTTCCAGTTGTGTTCATAATCGCTTCACTTGTGCATCTACATGTACTTTCGAAATTCTAAATAGAAAAAAAAGTGTGATATTGCGCCTCACATTGCGCGGACATAAAGTCAAAAAGAGAAAGGGGGAATTTGTCCTTCAATTTGTCGTGACACTTAAACTCCGAACATGTCACTGTTCGCCTGTTGCGTCCGTCAGGTGAGTCGCTCTTTAGCAACAGTATAAATTGAAGAAACGCGTACGACACACAGGAAATTTGAATTTCAATCGTGCGATTAGTCTGCCCGGGTTCACAAGTCGACGAGGAATCCGGTGAACATCATATTGAAACCAAGTTGAGATCGTGTACAAATCAAGTTGATATTTAGAATGTTTTATTACGATATCCGGGAAATATTCTGTAGACGTCCACGATCCAGTCACATTTCAATTGATACCACAGTTAAGTCGAATCTCCATTTATCGACTCGGCTTGAATCAACTGAATCGTCAATAATTGGTCGACACTGAAACGGTATCTTCTACACGTCGAATTAATACATCTATAGATGTTAAATATACGTCGACGAGATATCGGCAAAGTATTATACGGATCTCTATCGAGATTCTTCTTGCGAAGGTCAATGATGAATCTGTAAGTCGTCGTCAAGTCAAATGGTCCGAGAAATCATGATCGACTTTGATTTGATTATCGACTGAACCTGGGTGTCGACCACGCGCATGCTAATCGCGCGGCGCTTACAAATTCGTCTCTGTTTAATATTATTGTTGGTTTTTCATAATAATTTTATTGCTAAGTGATATCAACCTATAAAAATTGCAGATAGATTATTGCTTTTATTACTTACACAAAATTTATATCACTGACTAACTTTATTATATTTTATTACATAAAGATGATCCAAATGAAACATAGACTAGTTGATCGAGTGAAGTGTAATTTAAGACAGTATAAAATATGTACATGTAAATACACGTACATGACAAGTTGTTGATAATGCAACATACAAGCATTTCTAACATTTAGGCAGTGTCTTATCTTCACGCTGAAAAAAACTGATCTTGCAACTGCAGCATTAATTTTCTAGATACGAAAAAATAACGGAGATACATAAATAAATCACATATATTTTGTATTTAATCAATTTAAATAACAAAATTTCTATCTGAGCTATTAGCGAATGTTAGGAAGAAAGTCTGTCTGTGGCGCTCATCCATTAGAACGTTCAATTGTGATAAGCGGTTGTTCCTTACAAAGATTGTTCTATGGTACCGAAACTTATATTTCTCCAATGTGAATGACTAATATTTAGTCATGAAATCCAAACTTACCAGAAGATATTGCTTATAGAATGTTGCTGCTATAAATTTTGCAGGCTACAGACAATTTTCTGACAGATCCAAAAAATGACGACAAATTTTTGTTGCGACACCTAGAAATCTACCTGCGTCAGTAGGATATTTTTTTGAGTGCGGATGATGTTACTATTCACGAGCAACCACCCGCGTCTATATCTCATTTGGACCACCCTTATATCTTATTTTACTTCTGTTTTCTCTTAACATTTGTTGTCCACTTATCTGTTTGTCACATTTCTAATATATTTGGAGTGCACGCGTTATATGTATATAATTTTTAATAATTTTAGTTTCTATTTTTTTTTAACTAATGTTTTCTATTACATATCTAAATAAGGAATTGCTACATGAAGATAACAATAACTCGTTTGTTGTCGTAAAACTGCACTTTTTAATTTTTTAAATTGCTCTTCCTTATTAAAAAACATATTTACATTTTTAATGACGTTGGTAATACTTCTTTTTTTTTATAAATTCTGTCAATCGTATAATTATCGATCGGGAATTAAAGCGGCATCTAAATGTGTTAGTGTGATTATAATTTAATTTATTATACATTTTTCAATATAATAAATAATTAGATTAATCAACATGTATTTTTTCAGTAGATAATGGACTTCATTGATGCGTAACATCATATTTCTGTAAAAGTTATGAGCTAATTGTAAGTTAAACGGAAGAAAGTGTAGATTAGATGTAAATATTAGAGTGACAGATCAGTTACACGCGTAACCGTATCGTATTCTTTACATAAAAATTATAACAACTGCTAGCGAAAGGAACAACATTGAAATTGTTTTACAATGCAAAATAGTCTGAATTCTCTTCGCTCACCCCTACCGTTCAGGTGGCAAAATCGGTAAATAGAAAAATGAAGTAAACTGTAGGGCTGCCACGGACGGCAATGCATGTGCATGCGTGTTACGTGTGTATTCGCGCGCATGTGAACATCCGTGTGTGTATACATGCGCTCGCGCCCACGAAGAGAGTGAACGTCAAGCCGCTCGCTAGGATGAACAGATACATTTTACGCTATTTAACGGCTTTCATGCTCAACTATCAAAGCGACCGACGTCCTTGCTGTAATCAGCGGGGGGGGGGGAGGGGTCGTATTAATAGAACGGCGATTCACTGTTTTGCAAAATTTTTCTTAGAATCGATTTCGTAGCCCTTTACTTCAACGGTGACGTCTAGTCCGTACACGCGCGAGCCGCGAAGTTGTTGAATATCGTCGCAAAGTAAATAGGCAAATGACTCGACTCGTACCTTTTTAGCCAAAGCTCCTGAATAGATCTGTGTGACTGCTTTTCTTATTTATTCTCGCGATAGATATATCGTTACTTCCGCAAGTAATAATGCAACGCGAATCGGGGAGCACGATGCGCAAAGATTTTTTTGCAATAGCTCTGTAGCTTCTCTTTGCAACAGAAATTGCAACTTCAAACTAGTGTTTTTTTTTTTCGTGAAATTCGTAAGCTTAATTGGAAGCTTCAGCATCAGCTCTGTATCTTACACTGTAGTGAAAATATTAAAAGTGAGTAGCTTCGTCTCTTTCTAACTGTCCCCTTAGAAAGAGACGAGGTCGCTAACTTTTAGCATGTTCACTGTGTTGCAAGAATTGATCCCCAGTAGTGCATTTTGCATTTCGGAAATCACCTCGCATATTGTTACGTCCTTTCGCAGAACAATCGAGCGGCGGAGGAGGCGCGTCAGCAGATGCTAGCGAAAGATCCGCCGGAGATCTCATGGGAGAACACGCTGGGCTCGCCTCACGGTGTGCCCTTTGACGACGACACAAAGGAACTGCTGAGGAAGTGTCTCGACGTCTCCGTGCCGCCACCGACCAGCGTCGCGGAGCTAATCAGACGAAGCAATGCGTTCCCCGTGAAGTTTCCAATTAACACTGTAAGATGCACCGCTTTGAGGGACAGAGGAATCAGCTCGGATACTATCGAGGTTTGTCATTTGATCGAGCCAGTGGTACACGTAGAGAAAAGGGACAGGCACTTGAATAATATTTCGATCTTAAGCGAGAAGTTGTCTTAAGTATTTAATAAGCACTTCGCAGAAACGGTTCGAAAATTTGATTGTAGAAAATCGTCTACTCTCTAGCGCTCATCCTCAAGTCAAGAGATATTTTTTTACCTTTTGTTTGAAATTGAATAGTTTCGGCTAATTTTGCACATTTAACGATCTTCCACATCTTTCAGTTGAACGCAAATTCGGTATATCCGCTGATACACGAAGCGATGTTGCCCCTGATTGCTCGATGGCTGAAACATAAGCGATTGTACGGTAGCGCTGTTGAGAAAGTCACGTATGCGGACATGGGCCTCGTTCAATTTATCCATCGCCTGCTGGATAAAAGGGCAGCTTCCTTCTGCGGTCATGCAGATCGATGGAAATTACTCGATAACAAAAGTGGTTTCGATGGCTGGGAAAGTATCGGTACCGATCACGAGGAGGAACCGTTGGTAAGTACGTGATTAAACAAGCAATTAAAAATGATTGATATCATAAAAAAAACTCTTACAATTGAATAGTAATTTAATAAGAATTTTAATAACAATTAAATAAAAATTAATGAGGTAATAATAACATTTCATGTAGAAAAATATGTATAAGAATTTTAATGTTGACTCATTTAAAAATTTTTCAAATTTCTCTGTACGACAATACAAGTAATACCAAACCGCACTAGCTAGAAATAAAAACGCCGAGCAGACGGAAATAAAAATAATAAAAATATCTTCTCTCTATTGGCAGAGCGGCTGCATATAAATCGGAGAAAACAAAGTTTCATAACTGTGAACTTTAAAGTACCTTCCGCAATTTTCTCGTAAATAATATTTTCATTAAAAACTCTTATATCTTTATTCTTCCTCTTTTTATTGCGCTTTATTATAGACTATTAAACTGCCTACGGATTAACGTAACGTTACATATATTTACCGATATTGGAAGTTTATAGGATGTTAAAAACAAGATAAAGTTTCATAATATCGCCTTCTCCCGTCGCATCACACCTGCGACGTCGCAATGCCTTAACAAGTGTCTTAAAAATCTCCCGAGCAGGTCCTAACGAAATACTTGAGCTACGACGAGATCAAATTGTCGGCAATGATGGTGATGTCGTCTCACACGGAGTTCATAAACGACGGCTCGCGAAACAATAGAGGTATCGTGAGCAGTGACCCAGACGCCGTCCAACCCAGAGGGGTTATTATGGGTGTCGTAGGCACAAGGTTCTATGCATTTATTTAACCCCGCCTTCTACGAGAATATTTTTATACGTGCGAATTCCGTGACGTCGCCGTCGCGTCTGCAGATGCGTGTTCTATTTTTATGTCTCTTTTGCGTGCGACCGTTTATAGCCGCAAAATGTTGGCGATTAAAAAACCCTTAAAATTACTCTAAGTACATTAGCCACCTTTGAATGAACTTTTTTTCTCAATTTTCACCACCATTCTCTCTCTCTCTCTCTCTCTTATATGCTCCGTTCCGTGATATGCAAATGCATGCACTGAAAAGAAGAATATTCTTCTTACGAAGATATGTTCAGTTTCAACGTGAAAATCTTGAAATGAGATTATATTACGTTGAAGGAAGAAAAACTTACTTGACTGAGGCAATTACATAATTCAACCGAGAAAAATATATGCCTCTTACTTAAGAATAATGTTCTTGACTGGAAAGGAAACAATGTTGGATAGAAAATAATATATTTTCAAATCGAAGAATACAATGATTAAAACGATTTTGTCGGTGTGAGTATCAAAATAATTACATGTATTCTTCAGGTGACAATTATAGTATTTAAACAAGACCGTAATATTGTCGAAATGTAAGATTGTTAATTGCTTCAAGGAAGATTATAGAGTGTTGCGTAAACACAAAACGAGAAACGCGTCAATTTGAGTATATAAGAGTTGATCTGACACGTTTTTTTTCTGTATGCATTATCTGCAGTAACATGAGCTCTAGATAAGTGCATGCATATGCGCGTTACGGAACGTAGGCGGACTGTAGAATTTGGAATTTTGCTCTATCGTGTTTTATCATTAAATTTATGCCATTTGTGCTACTTTATCTATCATGTAGATTCCAGAGGCCCCGATGCATGGAGTACCAGGACATCGTCATCACGCCGCAGCAGAACAATATGAATAACGGGTAAGCAGCGGGTAACTTTCCTGTAAATTTTTCTTGAATGCATATTCGAAAAGAAATTCAATGGCATGCCTAATAGTACACACGGGGAGAACTTCCTCTTAAAATTTATCCTGAAAATCATGTGATCAGGGGACGCCATGGCATCTTGAAGAACTTTACGAGATTTTTTTGACATTTTACCATACATTTTTACTATTAAAATGATCACATAATTTTCAGGATAAGTTTTAAAAGAAAGTTCTCTCCACGTGCTTAATTCTTTCAATTCTTTCTATTAATAATAATAAGTGTTCTATTAGTAAGATGTGCGCATCACTTTCATCAAAATCTGTTGCGTGCTTCTTTAACTTGAAGCGTAATGGAATAATAATGAAACGAAGCTACGTTATATAATGTACATCCTTTTCTTGCGGTATACAAATGAATTCTTTTTTTAAAGAGTCGATGTATGCGAAATAGGTACGGATCCGCGTTGGATGGCACTTTCGAGGAGAAGCGCGGGCTGCGTGTTTTATGGGCCAAATTTTATGGCGAGGACTATCATCCGCTCTACGAAGAAACCACGAAGCGGATGAAGTCAAAAGAAAACAGGCGATACATATCTTTAGGCAATCAGACGATCTTCGATATCGAGAATTACATGAAGAGAACTCTGCTGTCCGTAGAAATAGTACTACTCGAAGCGAACAGCCGCGCCGAAAAGCACAACACAACCGCTTTCTTGCACGTGGTTGGCTTTGGCCTCGGTTAGTCATCAAGCGGAGCTGTCATTGCTAATATTAAGATGATTAAAGTTAAGCGTTGTTACGAGTTATCGAAATTTTTTCTTTAATTAAATAACGATTGCCAGGTGTCTGGAAAATACTTCAGGATCAGGAAGTCTACTTCCTGAAAACGTTCGAAATCGCCATCAGGAAGATGAACAAGAAGCTCAAGTACGTTTCCGACATCATGTTCGCTTACTTCCGGCAGCAGAAATGCGGCGGCGCGGGAAATGGCGATTATCTCGGCGGTTAGTAGACAATCAACGGAAATGCAAACGTCTTTGCAACTAGTACAACGATAATATTATTTTTAGATATAAAAATACATTTTGCTCTGAGAGAACCACACAGCAGACTGGTCCGAGCCAATGACGCGAGTAAACTCCTCGTTGTAACTTACGCCTGGGATGGAAATACGCTACCAGGTTTGAACGTTATTCGTTTTATCGTTCATCTAATTAATCATTTCTTCGCTTTAACGATATGAATTGCAATGTCACGTTTAATAATCCAGCATTATTTACGGAGAGGAATACCTTGATGTATCTTTATTAACGCCTTCAAGACACTGACACCCTTTCCGCAGGGAATGAATTCTGGGTGGGGAGTCTGGAAACCAGCGGTGATCCAGCGGCTGCGTGCAGCACCCAAGTAACCGAGCTGCATAATTCCAAGATCAATCCACGCGCGTGCGGCGCCAGCTTGCACGTCGCGTCCGCGGAGCATGGAATCCTGCACATATCGGATTACGCGAAGCTCCACCTTACTTAGGTAACCCCCGATAAGCGCCCCCCTTATCGACGCTGGTCTTCCTTGCTGAATGAAGTTCGATTTTGTGATCACATATTTATGAACAATTGTGGACAGAAAAGTTGTCCGACGTTTTATGATGAATTTCGAAAATACAGTCTATGCGAGAGATTATGGCTTCAGCTCGAGGATATGTTTAGTGACGCATTATTAGAGCAAATGATGTACGAATATCCATGGAACGATAGAAACGAGTATTCCGAAAAATTGTAAAAAGTCGGACAACCTTTCTGACCACGACCGAACAATGTTGCGCCGTTGTATTGTCAATGCGGCAGCACGCATCTTTATTTAATCGAGAGAAAATCTCTTTTCTTTTCTTATCTTTGTATTCACTGGTAGAAGTAATAGAATTGTTGATAATATACTGCATGTACTTACCAGGAAATATTCGATTATCGAAAAAATTGAACTATTCGACGAAAAGAAAGTTAGAAGTTTATTAAATGATCTATCCCTTCTTTCCCCCGCTCCTTGTCCTCCTCTATGTAAGAAGAGTTAGTTAACTTAAATGAAGTTGATTAATTTAATTTTTTTTCACTACAACGAGAATTTCAATAATCTCGTATTGCTCTTCATATTCTTTTAACTTTTAGTCCACTTCCGACGCGGGTTAGACCGTTTGGCAAATTTGACTTTCTACACGTAACGTTATACACAATTGTCGCGGAATGTGCACACAACAAATTGAAACATTCGATATATTAAAATCATTACAATATACTGAATTATAAATACAAAATATGCAAGCCGCAAGACAGATCGCATTAGAAAAAAAACTTGAAAAGCACATTTTCGGACACTGCTTGAGAACAATTTATTATTTTATTCCTTTCTATGTGTGAGGCAGTGAGTTGCGAAAGGTATTAATTTTAAAATGCTGTTTAAAAAGCACGCCATCCCAAGCGCGATCAGTATCTCTGGACGAATGCGTTCGCTCAAACTTTAGGAAAGGGCCGGCCCGGCGGACAACAACGGGCAATTACGAAGACCATCTCGATCACCGCGCAGCCAGCGTAGCCGTAGTGCGGACGTGGACTGCCTGAAGAAGTACACGGAGCGTCGCGTGGAGGACCGCCGGCACACGGAGATCGGCGACACCAACAAACTGGATACTTCGAGGTGGATGCCGCTACCGAAGAACCTACCCCGGGGACAGCAACCGGCGGCGGCCAAGAGACCCTCGAGGGACGAACGGCAGGAGAGCGTCGACGAATCGGCAACGGGCGGCGCCGAGAGGTGGCCGATTAAACCGTTCTCACCCTCGTCATTTGAGAGTCGATCCCCCAGGCTCGAGCCCGAGGCCGTCGGCCGACCTCAGCACGCCGGAAGGAGTCACAGCACCGACGTGACCGCCCTTAAGAGACCGGAGAAGAGCATCACCGAGCAGCGAAGGCACACGGACTGCAGCGACCCGCGAACAATCGCCACGAGGTTGACCGCGCACATTTTCCACGTCCGAAAGCGAGAAATGCCTTGATCGGGATTGTAGTTGAGATTCGTAGGCGCGATTGAACACGATAGTCGTTACGGAGCCTCCAACGGGTAATGGCGTCTAGTTTCGGTCAGACTTCTCCGCTTCCTTCGTTCGTCTTGTGTCCCTTCTGTGTGGCGATTCGCCGATGAAAATTCACGTTGGTCAAGGACTGCGCTGAACAACGTGAAAACATAGTGGTGCCTGGTTTGCTCCGTCGACCGGAACTAGCCGCTAATATCTTTTCACGTTGCGACGCTCATCGTAATTGTGGTCCGCGTGTTGGACTAAGAGAGAGTTTCATTAAAACAGCTACTCGACACACAATAACGAGAATTTTCCAAGTTTGTACAAGTTCGTCTCGTTGTCAGTGTTCACACGTACACCCTTCTCCTTTGTGAGATAATTCATTTTTATACGTTATTTGGAAAAAAAAGACAATTATTATTGTACAATTTGAGTAGCTTCTTGTCGCCAGTGGTAATAAACCAAGGGGATTTTTTTTAATCGACCAAACTGGCAAGATTGATGTTTATCTTAATCACGACGTTTCATCCCCTTTTCTCAAGTACATTCTAAAGTACATTCTAAAGTTGACTGCACTTTAAAGAACTCAATAAAGGGGTCGAAACGTCGTGATTAAAATGAACATCAATTTTGTCAGTTTGGTCGATTTTTTTTTAAATTCCCCTTGAATTATTATTTTATATAAAGATTCCTTTAGATAGAAATATGCATGGATAGTTGATATCGACTTTGTGATATTTTTTTTATATATATTTCAGGTCAATAATTGAAAATTGAGCATTCTTTATATAAAGGTCTCAGAAACAAGTTCAATCTAATTAGTTAGATGTGTAAATTAAAACATGTTACGTACAATCGATTGCTTCAACAGGTAAGTTTGCTATGACAACGAAAAACTAATGCATTTTTATCATATAAAAACGAAACTCGCCAATTCCCAGTAAAGTCGCACGTATGTTGAAGTAATCGATTGCAGTCGCGAACAGTGCCCTTCGGGGAATCACGATGCTTTGCCTTGTGTATGTCTTTGCGTGAATATACGTTACTGTATAATTAAAATAGATAGGCACGGGTTGAGGTAAAAGCTCGACCTTGGACATGTGATTTTCTCAGATGGTTACCACAAATTAACGGCGGGAAGTTTCAACGGGAGGCGTCTCCCCTTGCGAGAATTGGCTGCGAAATCACAAAGGGCGCGGCTAGCCGGTGGATGACGTTCGCCAAAACTCCGTCGCCCGGTCCTGTGCCCAGGATAAATCCCGAGAGGAGGGATGCCATAACGGAACACGACAGAAGAGACGAAGTGCCGCGCAAGGACTCGGACCCCTCCAAGTGGCAACCCCCCAGAAAGTTCTCCCCAGCGAAGAGTGAGAAGGGACGCTTGCAAAGACAAGGTATGTAAAGCGAGGATTCTTTTATATGCACCCGCGATTGTGTGTAACTTTAATAAACTTCAAGCAAATGATCCATTAATTAAAGACTCACGCACGACGAGCCGCGTTTGACACTCAATGTACATTTTCCCTCGTTAACTTCAATAATTGAATAACACTTCATTGTAGATGAGTTAGATGTTGGCAGAGACCGTTCCTTGAGCTTTGTTGGCACTAACGAACGAATAATGAAAGACCGCTCCTTAAGTTACATCGACACTAACGAGCACGAGAACAAACTCAGCGAACGTATGCGAGACTTATACGATTTCAAGACGGAAAACGAATGGCCGAAGAAGGCGGGTACCTCCCGGGAGAATACTTGGATCAGCAAAAGCAGCAGCGAGGAGGAGAGGAGCAATTATCGGCCGGTTCGCAGGAACAGTCAAGATTTGGAATTCAACGACAGAATCGACATCTTCAAGGTATCCAGCGTTGAGGTCTTTTAGGTATCAGTGTTGAGGATTTGATGTTTGGAAGAGTCAACTCACTCGTTTCTTTGCCTTCCGCAGTCTAAGGATCAGCAGGAGGAGGATCACGTACGGAGGCCGAAGCGTAGTATTCACAACGCCAGCGAGGTGTTCGTGGACGAGCGGGACGAGCGTCTGCGAAGGTTCAACGATAAGCTGCGATACAGCGAAGACGTCAGCGCGAGGCGGATTCGCGGCCGCGAACGGCGCACTTATTCGGACGAGTACGACGAGAAAGTCCGTCGGGAGTCTCGTTCGTCCCGGCAGCCGGAACTGGTGACGTTCAAGAGGGATCGACCGGAACCACCTGCTATTAGGAGGCTGGTGGACAAGGAGAACAAACGGAATTCGGACGCGAGTCTGAGGCCACGCGGTTCCCAAGTCAGCTACGTGGAGATAGACTTCACGAAGCGGGACTCGCGTACCAGCGACGCCAGCTACGCCAGCGTGAATCTGGGCAAGAGGGGTAGCGTTGAGTGCAAAAGCACCCGCCAGATCCCCGATGTCCCACCGAGAAGAGCCTTCAGCCAGAGCGACGAACGACCGGCCACTCCCGTACCGCCGATCGAATTCAACGACGAACGATACGTCCCCAAGAAGCTGTCAGAACCTTCGGAAAGGGACAGCACTAGATATAAAGTGTACTTAACATAGGAAATGCCTGCGAGAGCGGACATCTCGCGACACGAACGCCGCTTTCGCAGGGTTTTAGATTAACATTCGAACGTTTCGAGGAGAAAGCTCGACGTGAGCGAGGAGATAATTGCACGAAGAGAAGCTCGGTACGATTTTCACAAAAGTCGTAAGTGTCAATAATGTGGTTGTCGAAAATGGTGTGTCGAAAAATTAAATTTGTTGTACAGTGTTAATTCTGTGTTGTGGACGACGCCCGTCACTTTTATCGAATGAAAAAAAAGGAACGAACTTTTGATTATTTGTGACAATGGGTAAGTATAAAATGTTAGCAATCCGCGATGGAGTTGTTGTCTGTGGATAACTGTTAAGCATTCAGGTGTTTATTGTGTTCATCGTAGAATAATGCGATGTATAAACGAATGGATGTACGAAACTCGAATACATTCTGTTGCAGAACCTACAATAAATGGCACCCGACCGGATACGGGGAGCCCGGTACACAAATATATTTGTAGCAGGTTTACAATGAGCTACATAACTGGAAGTTTCCAATTCGTGTTTTTCATGTCGGTGTTCAAAACGTAACTGCGATATTAATAGTGTACAAACGATGTAAACGCAAAAAATAATAAAATATTCTTTGAAGAATGTGCCATTTTGCCCAGAGCTTTCTGCGCGCACGGCTTTCAGAATATTCTATCAATTGGCCGAGAAAGACACAATTAGAGTGTGAAATCTTTGTGTCAGATGAGATAAGATGGGATAACCGGACAGTTGATAGTACGAATATCGGTGTCGGGACCTTCGGAATTGTCGACTTTGCCGCGTAAACGTTTCTGCGCTACGCGAGTCGTCACTGTTCTACAACAACAGCGATTGACTGCAATTGATACAACCCGGGAAAAAAATGGAAATATCTCATTATATAGTATGTCTCAATCATGTAATATCTAATTATATGCAATTCTAAAATCGTCAGATCTTCAGAGAGCTGACATTTTTATTGAATATTTAATGTTATTATCTATCGAGACCTAATTATGTTCTCTTAGGACATTTAATTATAGATTCAGTTAGATCTGAATAGATAACATTCGAGGAAAGTGTCAAATCTCCGAGGATCTGATAATTTGTAGAATTGGATCTCACGAGATATAATTAGATATTACATGATTGAGACATGTATGAGATTTTTCCATTTTTTTTCCCCCGGGAAAAGTTATTATACCTGCAACTGACGACGAAATCATGTAAAATTTTAATTATTTGTCCATAAATTAAATAGATAAAGGCATAACGACGTGTATTTAAGGCCAAGTTCTACAAGCTTTGTTTGATGGGGTGTTACAATTATTTTAATACGAAGTATGTGGTTGCATTTGTGTTTCTTACGGTTGGGTACGCGTTTCGGCACACGGTGCTTTCTTCGGCGCATGTAGCTTATAATGTATTACGAATGTACATATTAAATACATGAATAATTAGATACGACGATAAATATAATAATTATAATAAATAATAGAATGAATAAGTGACGAGTCACACTGTGTAAATAGTTAAATAAATATATAAAAAGGTCATAAAATAAAGATCTTAAGTCTGATTGAGTCATTTCATTTCGAGATACAAGGGAGTTGAGAACAGCGCTGACAGGGGAAAGTAAATAAGAACAATCAGACCTCGATTATTACAACATGACACGGCGCTATACAGGCTTACGAACCTGGTATAAGAAGCCAACGGTTACTCCAACGTCCACTACGACTAAACTGATCCTGACGGCCTAACCAACCCCTTGTATCTTGTTTTAACTTATTAATTTATTTAATTTTAATTATTTTAATTGTTTTAACATGGCGACCAGACTTAAGATCTTTATTTTATGACCTTTTTATATATTTATTTAACTATTTACACAGTATGACTCGTCACTTATTTATTCTTTTATTTATTATAATTATTATATTTATCGTCGTATCTAATTATTCATATATTTAATATGTACATTCGTAATACATTATAAGCTACATGCGCTGAAGAAAGCACCGTGTGCCGAAACGCGTACGCAACCGTAAGAAACACAAATGTAACCACATACTTCGTATTAAAATAATTGTAACACCCCATCAAACAAAGCTTGTAGAACTTGGCCTTAAATACACGCCGTTATATATTTTTAATAGAACACAAGCGATACTTCGTTATTTATAGATAAAGGCACTTATCAATCTAGCGCATATGAAAGAAAGCGAGAACATGAAGTAAAAGATCTGCTCGCGCATATCCACAGCCATTGTATATCTTCATATTCTTTATTGTACGTATCCTGTGGCAGACTATGATGGACGCATAGTTTCTTATAACTTACTTAGTGGCAAAAATGGCATTGGTACTCTGTCTACAAAAAGTTTGCCAAGGACACTCTCGTTTCCGATTTCCGTCAAGGATGGTAAAGTAAACGTTGATGCAAAATCTGATCACACAACGATGATATTGACCGAAGGTGAATGTTGAATTGCCAAAGAAATGTTTCAAAAGTTGAATCTAGAAGAATCAATCTAAATTCGAATGGAGCAACGTTTAATAAAATATTGTTTTTAGAGACGATCGCAAGAGTCTATCCCTTCGCGAGCTCTCGTCAATAATTCACTTGCGATCTGCACCACACAAATCGCCGCGAAATCCTGAGCTGGGATCCTTCATAAAGGCGATTTTCACCCTTTTCCTGACCGGGACATTATGAACAGGCGGTGGCGGAGCCCTGCACTCCCTCGTACATGCCTGGTCATCTTCTTCTCGCTCGATCTTAAATCTCTTTTGGGCACAACTCGAGCCGCTCGATCCTATTCCGTTCGCAACTGGAGTATTGCCCGCCAGGGATGAAGAAGTACCATTAGGTACTATACCAGTGTTCGATGGTACTTGGGGTGATTTCGGGAAGCTTGAGGACCGTCCGCTCGATGGAGAACGTATAACGTTTCCATTGCTGTTGCTGTGAAAAACACAGAATTAGGAGCATTAATATTATATTAATAATTTTGTTAGAAATAATATACTTAATAAAACACAAAATGATTTATTCTTAGAAAAATGTATATACAGGGTGTACTAAAACCGCCGGATATCCTCTTTTAATCATAAATTCTTTAGAAACTTTCAAGACAAAAATTCTAATACAAAAATGTCGAGGCTATAATAGTTTTTAAATAATAAGCGATTACATTTCACAAATGACAGGCCTGAGATTTCGCGCGCTCAGGTACGACACGACAAGTGATAAAGGTGTTCCTACGAATATCATCCTTTTTAGCATAGTGACAACTTTCACAACAGACTTAACGATTCATTCTCCAATTAATTGTTCCTCTTGTTATCTTTAACCATTTCTTTTGTTAACTTTGTGTAACGTCTTATTAATAAAAGGGATGGGTTCACTATGATGAGCATCTTGATCAGACTGATTGATCCTTCGATTTAGTCGATCTCCGATATTCTGAGTGAACTTGGAATTTTCAGTTAGATTCAATCTAGTCTCCTGCCTCTCTTTATCCTCAAGTTTTCAAAATAACCGGATCATCGTCTTCCCAAATATTTTCTGTCCCGTTAAACGGTGACTTTGGTTCTCGCTCGCTCGCGAAACACACAGGAACACTTTTATCACTCGTCATGTCGCCGTGCCTGAGCGCGCGAAATCTCAGACCTGTCATTTGTGAAATATAATCGCTTATTATTTAAAACCTTTCATAGCCTCGACATTTTTTTATTAGAGTTTTCCTCTTGAAATTTTCTAAGGAATCTGCGATTCAAAGGATATCCGGTGGTTTTTGTACACCCTGTATATATTGATATTTAGGCCAGTACAAATCGTATACATTTTTCTATTATAAAGAATGTAAGAGGAAAGAAAGATTAGAGAAAAATTGATTCCGACAAAAATATATACTCTCGAATCAGCAAGATTTTAAAAATCTACTTGTTTTGTAAGACATTGTCAATTAAATGATAAATCCTTGCAGAACACTTCTGAGAAACATACGGTTTTATTCAATCAAATTACAAGCCCGGGCCTAAAATGGCATCTTTCTTTTATTAATTGTTTAAAAAATATTTTTATTAGATAATATATGAAATATTTGAAATAATATTTGGAGCAATTATTTGAAATAAAATTAAGTGAATAATAAATAAGTAAAGATGAAGAGTAAGGAAATAAATACGCTACATGTTAGAAGGAGAAAGCGAGCACTTTAACAGTCGATCGACGATTCGAGGAGTTTAGACTTTTCGCTTGTATTTTTATTCGGGCATACGATTAATTTAGGCGTAATCTACCTGTGGAAGTTGCCTTGAGTAACGACGATGGAGGGTGTGACACAGCGTTTTCCAGCGGAAATAGCTGCGTTGAGTCCGCTCGGGGCGATCATGAGCAAATTGCTGCTGTTCTTGTCACACGCGTGCGAACTGTGCCTCTGCGCGGCATAATTAACACGAAAGACGTGAGAATTTTCGTTGCTCAGCTTCTCCTGCTTCAGGAACGTTACGGCCGTGTTCGCGGTGTGATACGTGGCGGAGTTTTGATTAGAATGCAACTCGCATTTGATGCGCACGTCGTGCTGTTGCACCCCGTTGCGGTCTTGACTCTTTTGCCACTCCAGAACATTGCTTAGCAACCTTATGTACCTGCGCAGCAAAAGACACGTTATTACTTACAATTTTGAATATCAGATCATCATTTTTTATATTTTAATACTACCCAGCGGCACAATATATTGGCGCAGTATTGGGAAATAATGTAAATCTAGTATTCCCAATATTGATCCAATATTGTAAGATGGACGCCTTCTCGTATTTAGCCAATGCGTCTATTTAGCAATATCGGTTTAACATTGTATCACTATTAGACCAATATTCTTATTACATTGTTAAATATTGTCCAATGCACTTCCAATATAAATCTATATATTATATAATTATTGTCGTGCAATATTTACATTTATTCCATGGCCAATATTGGCTTTACGTTGGACAGTATCGGCCAATGCATTTCTAATACAACCAATATTGGACCAATGTTTAGCCAATCCTTAGCCAATGCAGTGTGCTACTAGGGACTCTTCTTGTTAGCATCGCACACTTGAAAATTTCTACTAAATGTGGTACGTGATACTTGCGTATCTCTATAAAATTGTTAGATAATAGATACACATTTATTTACACATTAATTTTATTATTAATAGAAATACGTTTATGTTGAAATCTGGATATATTATTCTTGTCAATCGTTTGCAAGTTAAAGAAAATGCCTTCTTGCATTTTTTTTTCATTATTTGAAAGTAAGATCTCGAGAAGGTATACACGAGTGAAAAAATAAGAAAACTTGCTCGGGATTAGAGCATGCGTGACTTTTGTAATTGAAGAATTACCTTATCGACATTCTTAAAATCTCATTTTTTGATAACTTCTTGTCGGGTGGATGAGTCGGCACTAATTTACGGAGTTCAGCGAAGGCGCCGCTCACGTTCTGCTGTCTCCATCGTTCGCGGCTGTTAGTGAATAATTTTCTAACTCCTAAGTTACCTACACGAGGCGTGGGCGAGCCCAAATGACCACTGCCAGAGGACGAGATGCCGTCTAGCTACGAGATTATTGTGAATTTCACTAAATTGATGCTAATTTGTAAATCATTATTTGGGTTCGAAATAAGACTAGCTAGGGGCGCAATGTCGAATTTGTTATATTCAACGGCAATCGAGAGATCTCTAAAGGTATAGCTGAACACGGGAGAGCGATTTTGAATTTTACTCACGGAGCCGGAACGGTCCCGTCGCCTTTTGCTTTGTTCTTCCTCCTCGTCTGTGTCGTGGGAATAAAACTCGTCGGAGAGCGTCGCCTCCTCTTCGGTGTCCCGCGACGTCCCGGGCGAGTCGCCGGCTTCTTCCGCGAGCTCCCCCTCGCCGGACAATAACGACCCCGCCGGTGAACCGTTTTCGGCCTCCACGATTCCAGCACCGCAGCCGCTATACGTTAACATCGGCTGCAACGATTGATAAGAATGGTGAACGGGTACGACGAGCGTACGCGCAAGAAACTTCGCCGCCGTTTGTCAACGCCAATCGTCGCGTTCCAGTTCTCACGGATAAATGTAGAAATCATTGTTTTGCGCCCGCGACTTTGAAACCAATCTAAATCCACCTTGTGAATTTATTGTCGATTCGCTGCCGTGATTAATCGCTATCGAAGTCCGCACGATGAAACAAGCGAAATCGATAGCAATTCAATGACGATAAAGGGAACTTTTCCGGTTGAAAATCTGCATGATTAATCATTAGCCGGCAGGAAGTTGATACTGCGCTCTCGTCGACTGTCCCTGACATTTGACGTATATGTATGCCATTCGATTTATCTTTTATACACATTAGTCATTTACATATGTACTACATATCATTTTTATTTATACGAAAAAGGAAGCGTTTCCGTCTACTCATTTACGTCCTTCTCTCATTGTCAGTCATATCACTTATATCACACGCTTCAATCGAGTCTCTCGTTCGGCATTAAAAAGTTCTGATTCTTGATGATGGATTCCCTAGCCAGTGAGAAATTATTCGTCGATCGACGTCGAAATCGATGTCGAATCGACGTCAATTCAACGATTTCGTCATCAATCGACGAATCATTTCTCGCCGGGTGTACGTCAACAGGTTTTATAGGCCTAAAAATGTTAATTATCAGCATTGGTTGCATTTGAACTACTTTTTGTTATTGACAAAATACCAATAGACTGTCCCAGTGAGAAATGATTCGTCGAAACAATGTCAAATTGACATCAACTCTGTTAAATTGACGTCGAATTGACATCAACTCTGTCAAATTGACGTCGATTCGACGTGAATTTGACGGTGTCAGTGTCGATCCGACGTCGTTTCGATGTCGATCGACGAATCATTTCTCGTTGGTTACATACTGATAACTTTTTACAGTTCATTTAAAAAATGCCACGTGCCACGACATTATCCACTACGTCACGATGAATTATACACACATATATTATCCTTTTACAGTTTCGGATCTCTTTCAAAGATTAAAATCACTTTAAGCTCAACTAAAATTCTTTGCGTTTGAATTATAAGCTAAAGATGTCTAAACTGTCCGAAATAAATCGACGCTTCGGATTCATATTTTTGCGAACACACAGAACTCGGACACGATCGTCGCTCGAGGTTTACGTATCGAAAGGGTTGAAAGGGTTGAAAGAGCACAGAGTTTTAACATGGTCACGCACACACGTGAAGTGCTTAGAACTCACCATGTTGCACGCGAGAGAAAGGCCCGACAGTACCGCGAGATTAAACGGCAGATTGGCGTAAGGAAGAAGTAATTTCGAGAACGATCCGGTTCACATCGTGACGGAGAGTAACATCGACGTCGAAAGAGTCGATCTAACTAGTCGCGAGTCCGGGCTAACCCCCTGGGCAAATGAATTTCACGAGGGCGGAGCGCAGGCTTATGGGTGGAGCTGGTGTCAGGTCCGTCCCATCCAGCATCCCTGTATCGACGCTTCTCGCCGGATCACATCTTCATACATTCAACGTAAACGCGACCACTTCCACCTCACCGTGCATTGATTCTCGGTCTGTATAATATCGTTGTTCGTCAAATCTTGCGAGACAGACACGACATATGCTAATGCCACTTTCACTTTCCGAGCTTTGCACGTATGATTATAATCTTTTCCTAAAGTTGATCTCATAATCAATAATCACAGCTGTATACTGTGACTTTATTGATTAAAAAGGAATGTAGAAGCGCTTAAAAATTGTAATTAAAATTACAATTGTTTTGTTGGTAACAGTAAGAGCGATTTAAAAAATAATTTGTTGACATTGGTATTACATTACAGGCAACTTTTATATTATGGATCAGTTGGCGATATAAAAAAAAGTTACCCCGCTTACATGCGACGAGACACGCGTAGGTAACCGAGGGTAACGCACGTGCCCTTTGTAAGCCGTTTATTCCGAGATTAAGGTTCCAATATATTTGAAAGAATATCTGACACTTTTAAAGTCAACTAATATATATTTAAAAATGTCCAAAGACCATTTATGGAGACTTTGAATACCCGAAATAATTTATGCTACAAACTGCAAGAAAATATAAACTACAAGTATTTCATTATTGCTTGGATTGTTATTAATATTTCCAAAAATCTGGCTGGCAATGAGAGAATCGCTGCAACTTCTGCATTTATGCTAATAGCAAATGGAATACAATGTATTCTTAAAGTAGCTGGTTATCGAAGTGTTGACTAATATTAAACAAATAAAATTCGTAAAGCTCTGACGTGAAATCACGAATACGAAGTAATAAAAGATCTAAGAGCCAAGACTGGATATTAGTGATTTTAATTTTTTAATTTACTACGAAAAATTTACCTCCGCCAGGGTTTGAACCTGGACCTCCCTTTCACGAGACAGGCGTCTCAGCAATACATGTCTCGTACGTGTGCGGTGGTCGAATTGGGAAAACGCCTAGTGAGAGGGAGGTCCAGGCCTTGGTTCTTGTATCCTTTATTACTTCGTATTCGTGATTATTAATATTGTTAGCACATGTCTGTCGTTCATTACAACCTAATTCTGTCAACAAATTCGTCTCGATGCAGACGTAGAATAGAGACGACTACAATATTTTCTTCATTATCTATGGTATGTTCCCATTTCCTCTCGGTACTACTGACAATAGATGAAATGACTGATTCCAAGTAAACCAGTACTCCCAATAGTCTCAAGCATTCCGTATCAAAGAAAAGATGTGAATGGTTGCATTTAGAAAGGAATAACTGCTATGTTATTATAATACAAAGGATTGAGATTTCATTTGGAAACGATTTTCTCTCTGAAGCTGAATTCAGTGATAGCGTCCAGCATGTTTATGTTTACATACATAATTGCGAACCCATTTATTTCCTCCCTTTTTCCTGTCGTGTATCCTTTGAAAGCACATGCCATGTGTTTCAAAGATGTCTTTTTAGAAATAATAATACGTGTCATCTTGCTGTTTATCGCCCTAACGACGCTACGATATCGCCGTAGGGCGATAAACAGCAAGATGTATCGTTTTACTACTGGCATTTAAATGTGTAGCTCCATGCCACGTCGAGAAATTTGAAATAATACATCAATCATTTTCGAACCTTTATCCTGCGTATTTTTCTTGCTTAACGGCAAGAGAGTAATAACTCTTTTGTAAGATAGTTAACGGCCATAGCCGGCGACTTGATTAAGAGTCGTTACGCTAAATATCCAAACGATTATAGCCTAGTAGGGACTAGTAGGTAAACCAATGGTTATAGCGTTTCCTAATAGGGAGAACTAAAATAATATATACATACTATTATCATTGTGAACACAGCGAATTTCGTTACTCGCGATAAAACGAATAAATGTTTATTTCTTTTGAAGCGGTTATGAAAGCGGTAAACACTCTTTTCTCGACAAAAATTGTCGCATCACATTCCAAATTATTCAATTTTTAGCATTTATTTCGAACACATCCTGAAACATTTAATTTTTAAAGCATTTAACAATTACGATTGTTATTCTTAATTTTGATATCATAGATAAAACAGTGACGATTCATAAATAGTTGCACATGGCTTTCCTCTAGATTATCGTCGTACGTATTACTCATTTTTCCTCAGAGATAAGTGTTAGAACATTTAGAACGTAACAGTTTGGGACAAAAGCATTTTTGTAACTTGAAATTCATAAATGTTAGTTGTCTGCCGTGGCTTTTCTACAGATAGCCATCGCACACTGCGCTCACCAAAAATCAGACCAGGTCCCACGCAGATTGGCTCGTAATGGCGCTCGAATGAGCATCAAGAATGATATCATCTAATCAGGCTCCGACGATGACACCCCGACGCATCCTACTGGAAAATCTGTAGCACCCTCCCGAGGTGTCACAATAAAACAACCCGTAGCTGGTGGCCACTTGACGACGGGGGGGCAGCGCCGCTCTCTCACCCTTAATGTATACTAAGCAGGGCTTTCGTTTTTTTATGCCCATCGAATCGTGGGGATCCGGCTAATCGAAAGTTGATTGTTTGGGAAAAATCTTCGTGTGGCTGCATCATCCATTTCATCTTACGCAGTCCAATCATAATATAACTACACTGACCAAAATTTTTTTTTAAACCAAGTAAATAGATTTACTTAAAATTATTTTTTGCTGGTATAAATATTTATTCTGTTTAAATAAAAATATCAAATTTCAAGTAAATCTGTGTATTATATTAAGTAAATTAATTTAAATCGTTACATTTTCTACATTCAAATAAAGATTTCATGAGATATAGAATACTATTTATTAAATGAAATAATTGTTTTTGTTAAATAAGAAATCCAATTTTCTTTCCTGTAAAAATTACATCTTAGTAAACATTTTATAGAATTAAAATAAAATTTTGTTAATTTAAAATTAAATTCTTTGATCTATTCTTTGATATTTAATAAATACTTAAATTAAAGCAGTGTATGTTTACATTTGTTTATCATTCTTTAAATTTAAGTTAATAAGCTACCTATAAAAAATTTTACTTTACTCAAGAAAATTATTCATTAGGAGCCGCCTAATTTTCTTGAGTAAAGTAAAATTGTTTTGGATTAAGATATTTTTTATCAGTGTATATATACAACTTCTATCATTTCTTTCAGGTATCAATTTTGCACCATGTTAATAATTAATTGTCGTTACTTTTTCCAAGAATATTTTTCTAATCTTTATATCCATTACTGGTACTAAAATAATTTTAGCTAAACAACGTTCTAACGAAAAATATTAGAAATATCAAACAAGCAATTTTACAACAAAATTTTGTTACAAGAAAAAATATATACATATGTATATAAGTGGAATTACTTAATAAAATATCAATAGCAATATAATTATTTCCTTATCTTGTAACTTTTTCTTATAAAATTGCTTGATCGATTAATCCAATTGTCGCTATATTTTTTGATATTTTTCGTTTATTGTATTTCATTGAAATCAATTTAAGTGCAATATCATTTTTTTTTCTATACGACAATCGCGTGAACTGCAATATTATTCTTTTCACATACGATTGTTACACACATAGAGAGAATGTGAAAAAATAGCCAGCCCAAAGAGAGAAATTCCCATTACAGAAATCGACGAAACGGCACCCCAGGCGCCCCATAGAATTTAATAGGGGATATTTTGTAGCGGTTTCCCACAGGCCTGGCAACTCGCGGCCAATTTGCGCGTGTCAATGAATAAGAATAAGGTATTAATATTGCCATCGCCGCACGAGATTGACTCACGTGACCCTTATCGCGGTCTTTGGCGCCGTGCCGATTTTCAGATAAAAACCCAGAGAATCATTAACGTCGACGGGATTCAGTCGGAAGATTTATATCCGTAATAAATATGTTACAAATTCGGCGATATCGCGAAATCGCAATTATAAATACGTTCGTTCGCATCTGTACTGCAATTTAACGATTATAACACTGGGAAAAATTGTCATCGGATAAACTAATTTAAATAGTGTGCCCGATCGTTAATTTTTCCGATCAAATTGTGGATGATACATCCGACGAAATGCAGTTACGACGAAATTAGATTGAAAAACCGATCACATTTTTCATCGAATATACTAGGGGCAGTCAAATGAAAACGAGACAGATGGAAAAAAGTAAGTACACTGTGTATTATTTCAAAAGTAATCGCCGTAACTGGTAATGCATTTATCCCACTGTGGGACAAGACGGTCAATGTCTTCATGGAAAAATGTTTGTGGTTGCCGACGGACTCATGATTGTATCCAGGCGTGCACCTCTGCATCCGAAGCAAATCGACGGCCACGAATGTCTTTCTTCAGGGCTCCAAAGATATGGAAGTCGCATGGAGAGAGATCGGGACTGTATGGAGGATGTGTAAGGGCTTCCCAGCGAAATTGAAGCGCGCCATCAAGTCCAAACGCCCAGGAATGTTGACGGACGGCATCATTCTGTTGCATGACAATGCCCGCCCACATGTTGCCGGGGTTGTTTCGACTACGCTGCAGAAGTTTCGCTGGGAAGCCCTTACACATCCTCCATACAGTCCCGATCTCTCTCCATGC